TGATCCTATATAATAAAAGCCTAATATGCTAACACATTGTGTACTGCATAAAAATGTCTAAGACATACGCCAGGGACCACACGTTTTTGGGCAAACTGCACGTTATTTAAATCATCATAATGCACTTTAGGTATTGTTTTTCAATAATTATAACATTTTTATTTACAAAAACAATTAAACAATTAAAGTTCCTAGTACTTTTTTAACGTATGGTACTGCGTAAAACATTTTCCTCTATGAAGAGGGACCAAACAAAATTTACGTAAATATCTAGATTCGCTCCTTTTTCCATGGGCGTGAATAACGAGAACACTCGTGAGCGGTCCTTAACAGATGGCGCGCAAAACACGGGAAAACTCCTGAGAGGTATGAAATGTGCTAAGTGTCCAGTTGTCTGATTGACTGTTCAACCAATCAAGGCATAATATGCTATTAATATGCTAAGACTGCTCAACTGCTCGCTATGACGTGCACTGACCACCAGGAGGCAGACAGTTGACCAGTTGCTATGACGTTCACTGACCACCAGGGGACAGATGCTCTGACCAGTAGGTTAGCTTGCTGCTGGGATCCAGCTGATTGGGACTGAGCAAGACGGACCTGACACACCCTGGACCTCTACTTGCCCTCCCCAGCTGGCCAACCTCCCTCATCCCTCCCCGGCCCCAATCATGCACCAATGGGGTCCCTCGGCCTGGCCTGCCCCCTCTCGAAATCCAGGACCCCTCAGGGGATGTTGGAGAACCGGTTTTGGCCTGATCCCGCATGCCAGGCCGAGGGAACCCCCACTGGTGCATGAATTCATGCACCAGGCCTCTAGTTTAATATAATATTGTAAAGAACTCTAAAAGTAATAGGAAAACATAATGATATAGTTACATAATGTCTTAGTTCACTATTTTTTTCATTTAAATATGTATATTCTGAAATACTTTGTAAGATTGACCTAGTATAGAAATTAACCATTTAAGACCCAAGAAGTATTCATGACTCCCTTCCTTGTATGTCTTCCAGGCACCATTCAGGAAGATTACCTGAGAGAGCTGCTGACAACAATGGGAGACCGGTTTACAGATGAGGAAGTGGATGAGCTGTACAGAGAAGCGCCTATTGACAAAAAGGGAAATTTCAATTACATTGAGTTCACACGCATCCTTAAACATGGAGCTAAAGATAAAGATGACTGAGAGAACTTTAGCTAACACCTTCTAATTACTTTGTCTTACTCTGTTTTATTTCCTCGACACTTTCCCCCATTCTCACAGACCTGTTGCATGCAACTTAGTTTCACAGCTTTGCCTCTTTTTTTTTTATGTATTTATTCTAGACTTTTCTGCCACTTAGCACTTGTATAATCAGACTGCAGATGGGGATAAGATTGTAAATTGTGTTGAAAAAGAGTTTGCAAATAAAAATCAACCAATGTGAAAGCCCAGGAAAATATATTTGGTATTTCTAGTTTTGCTGGATTTTTACATTTTTATATAATAAAAATGCTATTTTGAAATAAAGATTATGCTGACTCAAATGGAGTATAATGAAAAGTGATAGGTGGGGGTAGTCCTATTTTCATATTTTCAACTTTATGTATTTTAGATTTCATGGTTAAACTGATTTTTTAAGTATAGCCCTGCCGGTGTGGCTCAGTGGTCAGATTAATATCATTATGCAATAAAAACTAGTTAGCCTTTTTTTCCCTTTCACACTTCTAGGAAGTCATATGTTTAAACTACTAAATTATAAATACAGAGTGTATCTGAGAAAACACTCAACATTTCACTGATCTTAAGAGTCTAAGAAAATGAGGCGAAAAACTGAAAAAAAGAACCTTTACCGTGTGTAAAGTATTGCACATAGACTATTTTAATTGAATCTTCCCAACAACCTTCTGAGATAGACTTGTACTAGCCTCGTACTCCTGGTGAGGGAACTGGCTCCGGGCAGTTGGGTGAGTGACCAGAGTCACTGTTAGGAAGTGAGAGTTGGAATTCCAACCTGGATGCCTCCGTCCACAGCATAGAGTGCTGTTTCTGTGAAAAGCCCCAAATGCCTGAAAGGTCAAGATATTTCCATTACTTTCTAACATAATTGTGTAGTTTATTGAAATTTAAAATCTGTTTTGGAAATTGATTATGTGAACAGAATTTCAGAAAATCCTATCCAGGTAAAAAATAGAAGACAAGATTATAATGAATTCAATCTTTGAAGGCAATCCATGTGGTGTAAACTGTAGGAAGGACTGACAAACAGATAAGGCCGCTATGAGCTTGTTTAAGATCTTCAAGGCGCTAAGCAATATTATAAGTAGGGGAGGAACCTAAGAAGGGGGAAATTTTTAAAAAGTTTCCAATGTGGTTTTAACATCTGTTCCCTCACTTAAAAGTGTTCTTTTGGTATAATGTCTGCTTAAAATTACATATTGTTTAATATTTCTGTGTTAGGCAAATCCTGGTCACTTGATGCTGTCACTCAATTTTTTTCTGGACTTCCTTTTCATCTTTAAAATGAGAGCAGTTCCACTCTCGTGGTTAGTACAGTATTTCACAGTTCATAAGAGCTTTCATATTTGTTGTCTAACCCTCACAGCCTAAAAGGTTAATAGGGGAGGTATTATTCCTTACTCTTTTATGAGGGCTGAAGTTTAGAGAAACTGAAGCATCTGTTCCTGGTGCCACAAGTACAAGAATCCACATCTGGCTTTGGCCGGGTGGGTAGCCCAGTTGGTTGGAGCGTCATCCCGTATACCAAGTAAGGTTGCAGGTGCAATCTCTGGAAGGGCATGTGCAGGAATCAACCAATGAATGCATAGATGGGTGGAACAACTCTCTTCCCTCTTCCTCAAACCAATTTTTTAAAAAATCCCCATCCGACTACCTTTTCTACTTCCAAGCTGAAAGTCACCGTGCAGTGTTAAAACCAGTGGTGACTGTGTAAGGAAAGGGAGAAATAGACGGGTAATCTTTGTCATGAATAAATCAGTCACCTTTATGTGCCAGGCACTGTTGGTGATAAACAACTGAGGGGTGGGGGGTGGGAGGGAGAACAAACAAGAATTCTGCCTGCTCCCCCTACTCCCACCGCACCCCTCCCCCCAGCTCCTACCCCCCCACACCGGGAGCTCACATTCTCACAGGCTCATATTGAAGTCATAGTGAAGTACTATGGGACAGAGGGCCTCAGGAGTGATGGGTCCTTTCAAGGCACATGTGCCAGGAGCTTTAGGACACGAGAAGAATATAGGAATGGTATTTGCTGTGTAGTCTAAGTGGGAAATCAGGGCTTTGGGCAGGGAAGAAACATGAAAACTCAACCTTGCTGCTTTGTATGGAATGGAGGACAAGAGTAGATAAAAGCGAGGCTTCCTATTAGGAAGCTGTCACTGTCCCGGCAAGATAGGAGGGCGGCTTGGGCTCGGGCAGTGGCAGAGGAGGTGGCTGTGGCATGCCTCTCCTTGTCCTACCTATTTCCTCCATTCCAGCCCTGCCTTGTTACCATCTCTTTGGCATTATTTTAATTACATTTATTCTATTGCTCTTGTTTGAAGCCAGATTTGAAAAATTGGGGTGGGGGGTGAGGAGGGTGGGGGTAGAGTTTTCAAGATTAAAAACAAGAAAAACTTAGTTGTTTCTTAAATGCCTTATGGGTTTTTTACATTGTAATTTTAACTGGTTCAATTACAGTTGGCATTGTTCCTCTCTAGGGTCCAATAAATATTAATGATGACAATGAAAACACTCTAATATTTTCTTGAGAATCACATAGTGACAATCTCCTAATTGACAATTGATCGCTTGGCCATTGAAGTGGGAATGTGGGGTGTGTGTGTGTGTGTGTGTGTGTGTGTGTGTATAATCATGTAGTTAAAACTACTGAATGTTTACTGTGTGCTAATAAGCATGTTACACTACTGCCCTTTGAGATAGGTACTTTTATTATCCCTGTTCTACATATGATGCACTGAGGAGTAGAGAAGTAACTATTCAAGGTTACCTAACTAGTAAGCAGCGAGACCATAATTTGGAGTCAGGCAGTCTAACTCTAGCACCTGCCCTCCCAGTAAAATGATTATTGGAAATAACACCCCTAATTTCTTACTTCTGCAGAGTAGTTTTAAAAACATTTGCTATTGCATTTGTTCCTCAAAACTTTAGTAGGTAGATACGTTAGTCATTGTTATCCCATTATAAAGGTGGGAATACTTTACTTGCTCAATTTATATACCTAGACACTGTCTTATCCAGGACTTTTTAAAAATATATATATATTATTGATTTTTTACAGAGAATAAGGGAGAGGAATAGAGAGAAACATCGATGAGAGAGAAACATCGATCAGCTGCCTCCTGCACACCCCCTACGGGGGATGTGCCCGCAACCAAGGTACATGCCCTTGACTGAAAAACCCGGGACCCTTCAGTCCACAGGCCGATGCTCTATCCACTGAGCCAAACTGGTCAGGGCTCCAGGACTTTTGAGTGAAATACAGTGTTTCCCATTAAACCTATAATTAATTAGTGATTATTGATACCTACAGCCTGACTAAAATTTTGTTTGACTTTAAATTTATGTATGCTATACTATATATATCATATATATATGGAAACCATTGATTTTTCAACAGTGAAATTATACTTAATTATATATTTAATGAATCACCTTTCCTGGTAAAATATTTGCACAAAAATAATTTTTAAAACTCAATATGTATATGAATAAATACTTGAGTAATAAAATTTATTGTAAATTTGGTTGTTTTTGTGTTTTACATTTTAATGTTTTTGAAAACATGTCTTACGGTCAATGTTTATATTTAATATTTCTTATCCTGAAAAGTAATTGTATCAATGTTGCACCTTAAAATTGATAGATCTTAAAGAAACATAGTCTTTGAAATATAAACATACAAACTACTGAAAAATCTGAAGTGAATAGGCCCCATAAATATGTCACCTGGGAAGTATGAATGAGGTTGTGAAAGCTTATCACATAGTAAAATTTTGAGGAAAGATTTCTTGAGAAACAAAATGGTGAGGATCACAGGTGGCACATGTCACACTCTGTCCTTAATCTCTCAAGTGAATCTTTTTAATAACAGATGTCATGTGCAATTTTAGAGACAATAACTAGAAGTGTCACTAGATGGCACTATTATTCTTACTACTGTAGTGTAGGAACCTATTCCTTAAAATAAAATGAACTTCAGGGTGATAAAGCATGAATATGAATATGTAGAGAGCACTAGTCCCAATAGTGCTGTAACTTTGTCATTGATAACAAAGTCTATTACAGTGACATTCATACTACCTCCTGAACTCTAAAATGCAAGAAGCAATCTCTAGGACTCCTTTTTACCATGCTGTATTCATTCCTTCATTCACTTACAAATATTTATTGTCTGCAAAGTACTGTGATCTCAGTGATGCTCTGGTTATTTTCACACTGAAGCAAGGACTTCTGTTGAAAATAGCTTTGTTCCCGTAAGATCTGAGTCTGCCACTTACTGACTGGGACATCAGGTGAAAGTCACTATTACTATCATCACTTCTATTTTAGAGATGAGAAGACTATAGCACAGAACAAATAATTTTACATGAAATGTTTTGTAAAATCATGCTATCTATATGAATATTAATACTCCTTCAAGAATGTTGAGAACTATTTCTATTAGTTCTATATAATATACTCTATTGAGCCACACAATCTAAGCTTATTAAGATTAGCCCCAACACAAATGACCATGAGACAGCTTTTTGGTGTAGCTGTTCCCTGCCTCTACCTACTCTTAGAAATACTATCAGAATAAAAAAATGAAGTAGATAGGTCTGAAGTGTTTTGGCAGGATACTTGAAGCATGCCGTGGGGTGTGTATGGATGGGTGTGTTTGAATCTTAAAAAAAATTGTTTCAACCTATCTTGCAGGGAGCCAACCTAATCTTTTACAAGTCCCACTTCCACGGCAGTTGATTTTGCTCCCAGCACACAATACTGCCTTTCAGATTCTCATTCTGAATAAACATGATGCCATTGCATATTTCCTCATGGACATTGCTGACTAGCTCAGCAAAAAGAAATCTGAATGCTTTATTCACATTTTGTAATAATCTGAGTATAAATTGACAATGGCTTATTTAAAAGGCTGTGCTCATTGTACTCTTCTCTGGTAATCTTTTTATTTGTGATCTCTTTATTCAGTTCTCACTCTTTGAAGTGGATGTTGTGTTCTAGTGTTGCGGGAGATACAAAGATTCTGATCCTACTAGGTGTTATGCTAGGTGTCATGGATGCACGTAATAAAGGTTAGTTCTCTCTATCTCTACCAGAATCCCCAAAACAGCTGCACTCTCTGGCTGGAGGTATGGCTGATGTCTTAGGAGTTCACTGAAGAGGTAAGATGTTTTTTTTTTTTTAAAAAAAAGATGCTTCTCTAACAATGATGCTTGTTTT